TCATAAACTAAGGAAAGCATTGTTTATGTATCTTAAGAATACAAAATTAAAAAATAGAATCTAATAGATGTGAAGTAACGCTGCTACACACTCATGTACAGTAGGTGGCGGTATGCACCTTAAAGTTGCTTGTGATCCGCCATAATAGAAGAGAAGAAGAAGAAGAACCCGGATGCAATACCTAACGTCCTGTTGGCGCGATTCTCTTCTCAGAAGCGGGAAGCGGGGTAGGAAAGGTATGTTGTGTTATGTGGTGTCCACGTTTAAACTTTTACACAAACCATCTTTAGGGAAACATTGGAACTTATTTAGACATTATTGTTCCATGAAGACCATCGGTTTGGTGGTCTGGGCCTTTTTGAAATCATAATTCCTTTGTAAGTTTTAACGTTTTTAATTAAATAAAAGCACATTAATTTTCTTACATGTCCTGTATTTAGTATCTCTCTTACGTAGATGATAGGCTGTAATCGTGTTTACTGGTGAGCGGTACAGATTTAATGTGTTTTATACAGAGGTAGTTATCCCCCTTTAACTGGTCAATATCACTTGTCAATGTAGCACAAGAATCGGGTAAGATCATCCCTTGTTTTGTGATATATAATTAAAACGCTAATGCATTTTTTACACAATGTAAAGAGTTGATTAATGTTATGGTCTTTTTTTCCAGAAGACTCGGGCGTAAAAGTAGGATGTTACACAGTGTGAAGCATTTATATGGGGGTATTTGTCTAGAAAAATGTAAAAGCATATGCAACGTGATAAATAAATGAATTAAATGTAATCTTTGAATTCATCAGAATTAAGATGTAGACAGGCTTGCGGAAAGATGAAGATTGTGTTCTGTTGTGAAAAAGGAAAGTGCAGATTTAAGATCAGAGAGAAGATAGGTCTTTATTGATCTGTGACATAAGCAGGTGCAAAAGAAGTTATTGCACAACATTAGTATAGCTTTTGGATCAGCATCAGATACACTACTCAAAACATTAGATAATATTCACTATCAAGCCTTGATATTATGTACTGAAGCCGTCAGAACAACTCCAACATCAGCTTTACTATTTGAGATGGGAGAGCTTCCACTTCAGTTCAGAAGATTACAGTTAAAGACCTTTTATTGGTGTCATTTAAAGAGCCAAAATGACAATCATCTGTGTCAAGAAATTTTAAAACCTAGTTGGGGAAAGGAAAAAAAGTAATTTAAATTATTTTGGTTAGAATATAGAAAACATTATAAAAGACTTTGATTTATGTTATACAAATATCAGTCAAACAGTTCCTTTTTCACCAGTTCATCCATCTATATTTCCTAAAAGTGTTGTTGATTTTATTTTGTTGGAGAAAAGGAAACCTGTTAGATTCAATTTCAGTACAAATTTATTTAGACAATAAGTACTATGGACATGTCCAAGTTTATACAGATGCTTCAAAAAATTTAAATTGCAATAGTGGCGTGTCATTCATTGTTCCAGAATTCAATATTAAAACAATTACTGATTGAGTATCAGTTTATGCAAGAGAGATGATGTGGGTCGTCTTGGCTTTAGGGTGGATTGAGGAACTTCGTTCTGTAAGAACTAGGGGTGGGTATTGGCAAAGAAGTCATGATTCGATTCGAATCACGATTCACATGCCACGATGCGATTCTATCACGATGCATCACGATACTTGAAATATTGCGATGCATCGCAATGCTTTAAACCAATAAAATGAAAACATGCAAATGTATATTTCCCCTTTTGCAAATGACGTGCGCCATATCAATTTCATTTTTACCTTCTTTGTTTTTAAAGCCAAAATGCATCCAAGCATCTGACTTGAAATGTGATGGAGCCGTGGGGCGAATTTTCATAGTGTCCTCCATGTTTTATTTCATATGACTCATCGCAGTATCCCACGGCCGGACATGCTTGTGACACAAAGCGGCGGGCGACAACACATCCGCAGCGACATCTGCTGGACTGGAAGTTGTATTACACTTGGTTTGGCTGATGTGCGCCAACCATTAATGTATTTTATTTGTTCATTTTTTTTTTTTTATAATCGATTATTGCCTTCAAGAATCGATGCAGTAGATCACAAAAATTAGAATCGCGATGCATCGTCATTACGATTATTTTGCACACCCTTAGTAAGAACTGATTCAAGTTCATCATTATATTCAATAAAAAATAATCATTCTATCAGTAGACTGGACCTTCAATTAGAGATTCAATTTTTTATTTATAGAATTCAGGAAATGGTTTAATAGTTATTTTTACGTGGATACCATCACATATAGGAGTAAAAGGAAATGAGTTGGCAGATAAATATGCAAAACGAGCTGCAAAAAATAGTTATATTGATGTAATTATACCATTTAGTAAATAAGAAATCAATCTATCATTAAACAAAAGGTTATGGAAATATGGCAGAAGCAGTGGGATGAGGATAGAACTGGAAGGTGGCTTTACAGTATTCAAAGAAAAGTTTGGTACAATGAGGAGAACAGGAAGAAAGAGGAAACCATTTTGTCTATATTAAGTTTTGATCATATAAGGTTAAATAGTACATTATTTAAAATAGGAAAACATCCAACAGGAAATTCCGAATTTTGTTTTCAAGAAGAGACAGTAAAACATGTTTTGTTAGTCTGTTCTAAATGCTCTGTTGAGAGAAGGGAATTAGTCGATTACAAGAAAATAAAATATACAAGATATTTTGGACAAACTTTCTACTTTTAAATGTTATTATTATGTAATGAATTACATTAAGAAAACAAAATTGGTAGAAAGAATAAAAGATTTATTAACTTGATTATTCTAATATTTTTATAAAGAATTTATTTATAGCGTCCCTATCCGAACTCCATTCCAGTAGATGGCGGTAATGCACTTCAATAACAACCGCCATAAAAAAATATAGGAAGAAGAAGAAGAACGCCTGAACGGGACTGGGGGGGGAAAGGGGGAGAATGGCGGCCCAGTGTGCTAAATGTTTGGCAGAAAGGAAAGGGTTTCGGAGGGAACTTGATTCTTGGCGACATAAACTTGTTCACTGCGTTGGTATGAAATACGCTGCTTCAGTTTTTAAAACCATTTAACGGATACGACAAGCGTTCGCCTGCAAAGCAGAGCGCTGCTCCGAGCTGAAGCTGATTGGCTAACTAGCAGCTAACCCTTTGTCCAAGTTTGGCAGTTGTGTTATCCGGTGTTTGCTATTTGTGTATTTTTGTAACCCGAAATGTGTCGGAACTCTTATCACTGTGGCATATATCATATGCATGATGTAGTAATCACGAGTTTGCTTGCTGACACAATCATATTTCGATTATGCTAATGCGATGCTAGGTTTAGATGTAAGCTAACGTTTAAATGAGATGTTTTGTTCACACGCAGATAAAGCTGATGTCATTGAGAATCTATACCACCTTCTATTTCGCTGTTACTTAACATTTAGCGCCATGTTAAACATTGTTTTGTATTATTGCCTCGGACACACAGTTGTGTCCAGATGATGCTAGCTCTGTCTGTGCCAACGGTCAGTTTGGTTTTATTTCTAATATTAGCTCAAAGATAAAACTCATTCTGTACACATTCTTTGTTTTAACAATATGTAGATTGTTGATAAAGAGGCTTTACTAAAATAGTATATGCAATGTTGCTCTAAAATTTAACCATACCGTATCAGAACGGTATGCCGTCGTTCTATCGATTTACTGTGACAAATTACAATATGTCATTTAAAGTAGGAATATATTGTTTAAATGAATGACAAATTGTTGATTTTTGTCTTGCAGGGCTTGAAACTATTCTGGAGGAAATCTATGGCCCAATGCTGCTGAGAGACCTTAATTTATGTATGGGTAGGTTGTTGATCTTTTACAAGCGTTTGACCATGGTATTATTTTAACCCTGTCAAACTACTAAATGTACTTGAATCTCCATACTTTACAAGTTTGTGGAGTACATTGATTTAAAAATTTGAAGGTTTCTTAAAATTATTCCTCTGGATAACATGTATGTAGGTGTGAGGGTTTCACTCGCTTTTTAAGCAATTGTCTTTGCAGGGCTCTAGGCTATGTTTTTGCATTGTTGCTCCTAAATCTCAGTTAACACAACTTTTTAAAATTAAATTTGTTTTAAGGTTTTGCAGCACAGGTTTGCTTTTGTTTTTTTAAATCCTTGTGCATTTAGCTTAGGCTATTTAGGCTTAAAAAGTATCTAGGTAGATATTAAATAGGAAAATCAAAATGAAATAAAAACATTGTATTAGGTGGTAAACTGAAAACCTCATTGCTTGATACCTTAGTGGTTATTCTCCATTGCAGACAAATGGCCCTCGCTTGTTGACGTCCTGTGGTCTGGCAACATTCTCTCTGACAGAAATCTTACAGGGCCGTTTCTCTATTCACAAGAATGCGAGTATGGACTTGTATCCAATTATGTTCTTGAGAAGAACACAGGAAAGTGTGGACTTGGGGAGAACTTGAGAACGCAGCATAAATCTGGGTCAATTGGAAAAGAGGCATACTTGTGACGTCAGCACACGCTCGGCTCGTCTGGAGCTGCATTTCACCTCCTGTTATTAATAGTCTCAAGATAATGATAAATTCTTACTTTTTCATTTAGTGGGGGAATAATAATCAACATAGAATCACAACTCAAATTAATATTTAGCTGAATAAATTATCTTAAAATGTACTTTCATAGAATAACAGCAACAGAAAAGAGAAATTTTAACTTACTACTCTGAGCTCTGTAAGTGCTGCCCTGGAAACATGCTAGGGCAGCTATCAATCTCGAGAATGGACGAGTCTGCTCTGATGCAAACTCGGTAGGGAGGAAGTGGCAAAAACAACATCCATGTATTTTTTGCGTTCTCGGCCTTCTTGTTCTTGTGCATTGGAACAGTACTAGGGCTGAGGCTGATGACGTTTCACAAGCACATGAAAACACACAAGTACACTTATTGAGAAACGGCCTTGGTTTACATCCACTGATTATTATTAGATATCGCACTCGCTAATGAAAAGCCATCATCTTAGTTTCAATGTAGCACAACCTGAGTCAGAAAAAGCAAGTTGATGATTAGCCGTTTTTAATTAAATATTATCTATTTTAAAGGTTGGGAAAAGCAGGGTTTTGAGGAGTCTGAAGAGCTATTCTGGAATTTATGAAGAAGAAAAAGCTCTATTGTTCCTGTCTCCCATACAAACCCATTATTTTACTGTGCTGGTTTGGTTTTCTAAAAGTAACAGTGATTATAGCATTATATCATATTAGCAACTAAACAGCCTTTGCTCTTGATTTATGATAGCAGCAGTGTCTGTTATCAGTTTGACTGAGCTTTCCTGGAATTTACATAGCTTCTGTAAAGTAGAAAGGTTTAATCTGTACAGATCAATCGTTTTTTTTTTTTTTTTTTTATTCTATTATTTCTGCTTTAACAAGAGAAAACCAACTGAAAGAAACAGGCATGGGATATAGGCGTATCCTGAAATCCCATATCCTCCATAACCGCTCCGTTCCAGACAGCTTGCGTAAAGCAAAGCCTACAGCATCTGTATTTCCTCCGTCTTTCTCTGCTCTGAGTTCCCTGGAGCTCCATGCGAGAATACGCATTATTATTTGTTAATTCATAGGCACACAATACAGGGTAATGAGTGCTTAATTTAATATGACATAAGAAATCCCCCAGCAGCATCCATCAGCATATGTCTTTTTTTTGCTCATTTTCTTTTTGTTGTGGATCTTTGTAATAAGGATAACTAGGAACCTACAAAATTCCTGCATCTCTTCATCCATGTCTGCAATAAGTTTCCTTTGATTTGATGAAACTCCTGAACCTCTCAGTATGAAGTAAATGTTTTCATCTAGACCAATCTGCTTCCTGGTATGTGGAAGTACCAATATTTTGCACCCAGTAATTAAATTTAACTGTCTTAGTTTTTGGGAATATATAAGAAGTATTCACTAATTTGTAGTTACCGAGCAGTTGTTACCCCTATTTTATCGATGTTCTTTTTTCCTGTTTGGTGCGTTTGTAATTGCAAATCTTTACCTGGCTAGCTTCCATCGGAGCAGAGCGAAAAAATAGCGAAGGTGTAGCTACGGATGTGGAACAGTTGATTAAAATTACTGCAAAAGTGCTCCGCAGGATTTACTTGAGCAAAGACAGAGGATGTGTATTCTGGGGGTTATCCTATATGGGCAGAGTTTTATTTGAGGAAATTTAGAGTTTTTATGTTTGACAGGCTGTGAACCTAAGAAGGTGGATGACTGGTCAGCAGAAGCAAGTGTGTCGCATTGTTCGTTCTGTAACCTGCCATTGGACAAACTCAGTGTAAGGATTGTTGAGATGATCAAATGCATGATATCTTCCCTAGACACACAGCACAGTCCAGTCTGAAGAAATAACCAACAAGATAACATGTCTTTCTCCATATAGGACCAAGTACCTGCAACTGTATCACCTCTTTCCTCGCCCTCTGATTACTCCCCTTGTCAAACCTCAACCACATCTGAGAGCAGTCAATCGGCACATAAGTTCCTTCAAGCTGTTTTTCATAAGAAAGGTCAGTTTATTAACATGTTCCTTGTATCACAGCCCAAAGTCCACTTTTCTGCATTTAACCCGCATTTAATTTAATAAATTGAGTCTTTGGTGTCCTGCTTAATTGTTTTGTTTAGTTTTTTTTTTTCATTTTCATGTCAATCAGTTCTCAATAGGGATGCAAATAATTGACTTGCTATTCATTATCAAGTAGTGGTTCATTAGATAAGACGTTTCTTCTGTCTGGTGAACTGATAATTAGTGTGGCACCGATACCAATACCAGTATCAAACTGGGCCCCCGATCCAGCACTAAAATGGTGGTATCTGTATTGGCGAGTACCAACAAATATGGTACTGATAGCATTTTGAGAGCCAAAAGTTTATTAAACTATTGTCACTAGGGCTGGGTATTTTGGCCAAAGTCCTGAATCGATACGATTTTGATTAATACAGTTCTAAATCGATTAATTTGGATTCAATCTGTTTTTACAATAATGAAAGTGGTTCACCTATGTTTCCAAATACTCATGTATTTTAATTCTTCCTGTTACATTAAACACAAAGTGCAAACTTATAAATCAGACAGTTTAAACTTGAGATGTGAACAAAACTGTCTCATAAGTGCAAACTTGTTTGTGAAAAGTGAAAAAGTGAAGCCTCACTTGAGCAAGCGGACGTGACACAGTGGGGACACAGCAGACATGCATCTGCTGCATTATCTCCTCTGCACAAACCATATTTGCAGCGTTTTCTGTAACAACTACAGGGTGTTTGCTGGTGAGCCTCCATTTGTTAATGTCTTCAGTCAACCTATTGGCTATATTTGCAGCTGTCTGGCTTGAAGTCATCTTGAGTGCATCTTTCCTGCTCATTGGAATGTGAACGTCACTATAAAACTAATTGATCTCATTCGCTAGACATCGATATTGCAAAAATGTAAAGGAATCGATTCGAAGTCAATTGAATCCATTTTTCTTTTCTTTTTTTTTTTATCAAGCCCTAATTGTCACCCATTCCAGGTAGGCAATAAAAGGTTCTACTGGATTCACTTTGTATTAGTCTTTTTTCTGCTTCACAAAGGTAGGCAGCAGCTTGACAAAGCCATGATAGCAATTATTTTACATCTTAGTAGTATATATATAAACACACACATTAATTTCGAACATATGATATTGGTATCAGCCATTACTGCACGGAAGGTATCAGGTATCTGTATCGGGGCCAAAAAATGGCATCAGTGCAAAACTATTGATAATGCCTGGTTAAACTGCTGTTCCCCTTCATTCAGAAGAGGGTGCTGCTGTTCCCTAAGCAGACACACCCTGCAGGTGGCTGAAGAGTAACGATACTAAAGCATGCTGGAACAAAATCCAACAAGCATTGTTATTGTACTCTGTTTAATGGCAACAAGGATGCAGAAAATACTTTATGGGGTTCTGTGTATAATACACTGCTCAAAAAAATTAAAGGAACACTTTGAAAATATCAGATCCCAATGGGAAAAAAATCCTGCTGTTTTTTTATACTGATATGCACTGGGTGATATGTTAGGAACTAAAGGATGCCACATCATTAGATGGAAATGAAAATAATCAAACTACAGAGGGCTGAATTCAAAGACACCCCAAAAATTACAGTGAAAAAAATATGCGGCAGGCTAGTCCATTTTGCTGAAATTTCATTGCATCAACTCTAAATGGTATTCAGTCATTTGTATGGCCCCCACGTGCTAGTGGGGGACGGATGTCGTCCTGGGGTATCTCCTCCCAGATCTGGACCAGGGCATCACTGAGCTCCTGGACAGTCTGAGGTGCAACCTGACGGCGTCGGATGTATGGAAACATAATGTCCCAGAGGTGTTCTATTGGATTTAGGTCAGGCGAGCGTGGGGGCATATCAATGGTATCAATTCCTTCACTCTCCAGGAACTGCCTGCATACTCTTACCACATGAGGCCGGGCATTGTCGTGCACCAGGAGGAACCCAGGACCCACTGCACCAGCATAGGGTCTGACAATAGGTGCAAGGATTTCATCCTGATACCTAATGGCAGTCAGGGTGCCGTTGTCTTGCCTGTATTGGCCTGTGCGCCCCTCCATGGATATGCCTCCCCCAGACCATCACTGACCCACCACCAAAGCGGTCATGTAACGATGTTACAGGCAGCATAATGTTCTCCACGGCTTCTCCAGACCCTTGGGCTCTTGGAGTGCTCCTCCTCCTTGCACAAAGGAGCAGATACCGGTCCTGCTGATGGGTTGCAGACCCTCTACGGCCCTGTCCAGCTCTCCTGGAGTAACTGCCTGTCTCCTGGAATCTCCTCCATGCTCTTGAGATTGTGCTGGGAGACACAGCAAACCTTCTGGCAATGGCATGTATTGATGTGCCATCCTGGAGGAGTTGGACTGCCTGTGCAACCTCTGTAGGGTCCAGGTAGCACCTCATGCTAACAGTAGTGACAGTGACTCCAGGCAAATGCAGAACTGGTGAAAAAGAGTCAGAAAAGATGAGGAGGGGAAAAAATGTCAGTGTCCTCCACCTGTAAAATAATTCCTGTTTTGATGGTCGTCTCGTTGTCCCTCTAGTGCATCTGTTGTTAATTTCATTAACACCAAAGCAACTGAAACTGATTAACAACCCCCTTTGCTACTTACCTGACCAAATCAATATCCCAGAAGTATAATTAACTTGATGCTATACTCTTGATTACAAAATGTTCCTTTAATTTTTTGAGTAGTGTATAAGCAATTGATAAGCTCCTTAATTCATGACCTGAAAAGTGCCCATTGGTCAAAAATTGCTCCCTTGCTACCTTGTTTTGTTCTTGTTGATTTTCAAAAATGTTATAATTGATCATTGATAAAGTCCTTAGATATGCCGATAAGCAAATACGTGTGGTTTTCAGCTTTAAGTAGCCTTTGAATTCATGTCTTTGCTTTATTGTGGACATTTTCAAATTGTGAGCTAAAATGCATTTAATCTTATCTTTCATCTCCATCTTACCCTTTCTGTGATTCAGATGTGACCTTGGATTGTGATCCCAAGATACCTTTGGTTGCTCAGGAGCTGATGAATAAAATTATTCATCAGTTTGCTGAGGAGTATGCATCCAAGTGCCTGCTCCCTACCACCACAAATGGCATTACAAGACCCTCATCTCCACTGTCAGAGACCTCAGATGCTCCCCTGGATCTCACAGTGAACAGGACAAGTGAGTTACACTCAAGATGGTGTGAAACACTGTTGTATGTTCTTAAAATAAAGAATTCATACAAAGCTAAAATCAAAAACTGTTTTTGTGTCCTTAAAGATTGTGTGTTAGATCTCTCAAACCGGAACTCTGCAAGCTCTGCAATATCAACATCCAATCACAGCGCCTCAGGGTAAGAGTTTTTGTTGTTTATTATTTTAAAGTTCTCTGATACCAAATAAGATACACTGATGAGGACAAAAAAATGTTGGTTTTCAAAAATACCTGGGCATTAGACATTACACCTGAGTATTTAACCAAACTGGTGCTGATGATCTTTTAATCTTCTTTACAGTCAATGCAAGACAAAAATTATACTATAATACTAAAATTCTATTGATTTACCTTTAACTTCACGATTGCCATTTACGATTAATCACCCATTCGGTAGCTCTTTGGCTGAATGAATCTTCTTGTTGAAGGTTTATGAAAGGTATCCAAATCTATTGAACCTTTTCGCACATTTATTATGTTTATTACTTTGCAATTAAAATATAGAGTGAAATTTGGGGTTGTAATCACACAAAAACATTACAAGGGTGCGAGTACTTGTGCAAATCAATGTAAAAAGTAGCTTTTATTTAAATTTGCTGCTGTCTTTCGATGGGGTTGACTCTTTTATCTCTTGAGCGGTAACGTCACAGTAAAGGCTTCACCATTAACAAAAAGCCCCGGATTAGACAGTAAGGACATCATTGCAGTACCTCTCAACGAATTAACTTTCTTTCTGAACTTTTTACGACCAACATGTAAAAGTCCCTGCATATCTGAAAGTTACAGGGGTTGTATGCCATTCAGACTGTCCCACCTGGACGTGAAGAGGCTTTCCTACACACAAAGACAGTGTTGGTGTGTGTGTGTGTGTGACTGACATGCAGCAGTGTATGAAACAGACTGAGAACATACATGAAACAGTCGCAGTGATGTTACCAACACAAGGAATAAAGGAGTGGACCCCTGGTCTTCACCCCACCCTGTCCCTCCCTTAAGCCAAACCCCCTCATCACCACCATCCTGACCCTGCTGTTTGGTCCTCCCATCCCTAGGAGGCAGCACAAGATGAACGAGTACATTGAGAGGAGCTGGGAGCTGTCAGAGGGGTTGCTGTCCAAGGCTTTGAAGGATATCCGCTCAGGGAGGCTGCTGGAGCAACGGGCTGCCTTGCTTTATGGGATACCTCTACAAACCTTACAACAAGGTCTGGAGAACTGGACAGATGGGAAGCTGGATGCGCTGCATCAGTTTAAACAAGGTGAAAGGGACTATATGGATGAGACAACCTCTCACGGAGCAATGTCATCTACGTTAGGCGGAGAAGCCCGTCTCGTCCTGCAGAAGGTGGCAGCTTGGGCAGAGCGAGCAGAAATTGGGGGAGGAGCAGAAGAAAACCCGGATTCTACATTCCCGTCGTCTACTCTAGCTTTCTATCAGCCAAGCAGTGATCAAAAGGCCTTCCCTCAAAGATTTCTCCAGCTCAGGAATGCCCTCCTGCAACCAACAAGTCCATCTCCCAGTTTGGGATCACCTACAACTCTCCGGATTCCTCAGGTTCGTTCCTTGTCTGATCACAACAGAGCTGTGTCAGCGGAGACGGCCAGCATGGCAGATCATCTCCGCCAGCGTACCTCACTAACCGAGGGTACTGCCAGTTTATCTTCAGCATCTCCCAGGCCTTTATCTTTCTTCAAACTCCGATCCCCTCTGTTAGCACAAGGCTGTTCAGACGGCGCCAGCCAGTTACCTGATCGTCTTGGACCACGCAGATCCTCACTTGATGAAACAGAGGACGGCTGCCGCGATAAAGACAAACAACCCAGAAAGAAACGAGGAAGATACCGGCAGTATGACCACGAACTGATGGAGGAAGCCATCACCATGGTGATGGCTGGCCGCATGAGTGTCTCTAAGGCTCAAGGAGTTTACGGAGTGCCACACAGCACTCTGGAATACAAAGTTAAAGAGCGCACAGGAACTCTGAAGAACCCGCCCAAAAAGAAATCTACTACCTTTAGTTCAAGTTCTAACTTGTCTGCATCTGGTACCATGACCAGTTCCAGTAACTCAGGAAATCTAGCCTCAACTGCCGATGCGAAAGGTTTTTAGACCGCAACACGCCTCAAATTCCTCAACACTTGAACAAATCCTCTCTTACAAGATAAATGTTCTCTGGAAACTCACTGAAATTCAACTCTTGCCTTTATGAAGTGCATCAATATTTATATTCAGGTTTTTTTGTGTGTCTGAATTGATTTATTATTGAAGCTGTGTTTTTCTGACCTAGTCCTTTCTGAAGAACTGTTTATATTTTTCCTGTTGCTGCGGTGCTCAGTGCATCTTAAGAGTTCAGGGGCTTTGAAAATACAGTTATGAAGCTCTTGGAGCTTTGAAATTCGGAGCTATTTAAAATCCGAAAAACTCTCTGTAGTTTATAATTTTAATTGATTTACATTCATGTTTCTTTTCACAAATTTCAGCTTATTGAAGTGATCCTAAAAAATGTACTGTGAATTTTCAGTACATTCACTCTTAAAACAGGCGCTGATGGTTTCATCTACATGGAGCTCTCTTGGTCACTAGCTGGACCCGAAGTTAGCTTTCCTTTGGTTAAATAAAAGGTCAGAATTTGTCAAATGTTATCAGTTGATTAATCCTAATAACAGAATAAGTCAAAATAAGAAACAACGCACTGCTTCTAGAAAATATTGTACCCAAAAATGAAGTTGTACTTAAAATGTAGGTACTTTTAGGAATTTACATATTTAATGCTTTATTTTGGGGGTTTTCTGTGAAAAAGAAAATCTTTGAAGGAAACCTTGTTTCTCTTATTGCTTTAAACTCCTCTTATGGTAAGTGTTGAAAAACACAGCTTCAGACTTGGAGCTTTGAAATGAAGTACGACTCCTGTACTTGTTTCTTAGCTGGTTAACTTTTAGGCTATTCAGGTTTATATATCAGTTCTTGAAACTATAATAGCAGAGCATTGATGATTGTCATTTTCAGATTTTTATCTCTTGGTTTTACCTGAGCTTCTCAAGTCACTTAGAGCCATTTCAACTTTTGAGATACTTGCTGAAGACCTCGTTTAACAGTGAGATTTTACAGTAATACATGCTTAAATAGTTTTACATTCAAGAGGTTGACTTAAAACCACCTTGTGCGCACATTTCCCTTTTGTTTCTCTTTAGTGCAGACTAGTCTGAACATTGCTATATATACTGTGTGTTGGAATGCATCCGTGCTGCATGTTTTACAATGTAAACTGAGAAGCTTGGAGATATCTGTTATTTGTATATCTTCTGCTTGTAAGCGACTTTTTTTTCCTTGTCAAATATTTACTCAACTGCTACAGTAGTTGTAATACTGCTAACCTCATACATGACTGCTGCTTAACTTTACTCGACTGTTCTCCTCACACGACGTGTAGCTTTGTTAAACGCTTGTATAAACTTAAGATTCAAAGATGCAGAGAAGTGCATGGAACTAAAAGAGATTTATGTTGCATGTTTAGGGCTTGTTGTTGTTAAATAGTTATTTGTCTGTCTCTGGAAATAGTTTTTAAAGATTTCTTTGTAGGAAGTTGTCATTGTGACCGTGACTTAGTAATGCAAAGCTTAAAAGCTACTTCTGTTTCCAAGAATTCTAGATGCTGCGTCTAATTTTGTGTTTGTCAGATGGGCCTAGTTTCATGAGTAGTGCTATTACCAAAGCAGCGTTTCAGGTTTAGCCACACAAAGCTGCTGCGATTTACTTTGCTGCTATGCCAGCCCGTCTGCTTCTTGTGCTCTTACGCCATCTAACCTCATTACACGTACAGCGTTAGTCAAAACCTGGGACATGTCTCGCACATTGCTAGTGAATGAGACTGCATTTAACCTACAGTCGCATTCACATTGGTAACACTGATACATCCATAACATCAATGTGCCAATTGGAAGGCAACTCGGGCTTAAGTGCCTTGCTCCGGGGCACATCGACATATGTAGGCAGGAGCTAGAATTGGACCTACAGACAAGTCTACACAATAAGCCACAGTCACCCAGAGAACTTGTCTAAGCTTTCGATGCGTATCTGTACCTCAGGTTTGTTTGTAACTAGCAGGGGTGCACCAGTTGTTCAGCTGACCGATGGAGCCTCGATTTGCTTAATTTTTGGAGGTTGGTAATTGGCAGATACTTGGATGGGAAAACGATCTTATCTACCTCTGCAAAAGTCTGTGAATGAGCCACTGTCGATGCTCAAAACGTAATTTATATTTCAGAGCATTTTTGTTTTACGGGTACTGATTCAAATATTGAAGGTCTCTTGTAATCTTATAACACAGTGTCAGTTATTTAAAAAAAATGTTTTGATGGCTTGACAGTTGAAATCTACAAAACCAGGCCTATTAGAGAACGAGAATATGTAATCACCCAGAAAGCTGTAATCGGTGCACCATCAGTTACCAGCAGTAATTAGTTTTCCAATAATTCTGTGTTCTTATGGGTACATGATTGCTGTCTCAGGCTATATGGCGCGGGACTGTATGACACTCAGTTGGCACATTCCTAGAGCATATACTAATATCCAGCGATATCTGCCTATTGAATCAATCAGAAAATCAAAAATATCAGGTGTCTTGTCAGTTTGCCTAAAAAAGACTTCAAGCTTTGTTAGCTGTTCGCTTAGACTGCAGTAACGCCCTTGGGGTCACATGACTCATTCAGTGAGTGATCTCAACTTACAGTTTTTGAGAGGAGCAGCCTGCTGGCACCAAATGCTGTATATTGACCTGAAAATCCATTTAAAATTAAGGTGATAAGTGGGTCAATAGTTAAAGTGCTGTTTTAAATAAAGTCTCAATCAGCTTCTTTTTCTGCTTTTAGCTTTGTAAAATAAGAATTTAAATGGCTTCTGTTATGTTGTCCAAAGTGGAAAGAAATAGAGTAGTACTTAGCAGGTCAGTTAAAAAAAAATCCAGATGCGAAAACGTATTCAGTTCACAAACTGAAGTAGTCAAACTAATTTGCTTCGCAAGGAGGGCTTCAATCAAGGTTACAGCTCTTATTGCCAGTGCTGGATGGTATTAATTCCATCTGGGCATTTTCTGAGTGTCTGATGTCCATGAAAATGTTTGGCCTCATTCCTCTGTAGCCGACTGGTTTGGGTGGTGTTGAGCTTAGCGTTCTGCACAATGATGCTCTGCTCTGTATTTGGTACTTGAGTTCAGCAGCTGTGATGTTGGCATTCAGCCCATACTTGCATCAGGCTCTGTGGGAGCCAGGCTTTTCTCTGCTTTCTAAGGAAGAGCAGCCTTCTTTATTGGACTTATGGTGGCCGAGGTTGCGTCAGATGATTGAACAGCTTGTCTGAAGATTAATATTTCCACTGTGCGCTGGATATTTTCTCCTCCATTCCTTGGTAGTCATGTCGATATACAGAAAATTGAAGTGACGCCACCTTATGATTACTCCTAAAGGGTTATCGGCAGCTGAACAGTGAGCGATCTCAGTTTGTCCAGAAGTGGAATGACCTTCCCCTCCAGCATTGTTACCTTAGAAAGGCACAGCGGACATGGGAATATTATGTAATAAAGGTTGAATGTTGTCGGCTGGCAAAGTGTAATTCAAAGGCACATTACCCAAAGTATTTACAGGACGTAACACAGTTCTGTTTCCAAAATGGATTTTGATATTTGAAAAGGTAAACAAAAATCTGCTGCCGATGGCATGAGCAGCTCAATACAACAGCTTTTAACAGGATGTACCGGTCCTTTGTCTGTAAGAAGGTAGCAAACAATTATTTTGTCAATGACATTGTTTGCTTATGTTTTGCTTTGAAATAGGGCTGAAACAATTGATTGGATTCATCCTGATAAATTGATTATTAAAGCATACCATTTGCTAAAAGAACTTAACTGACTCTATGTAGAAATGAGACCCTTGTTTTTGCCTTAATGTTTACTGATGAGAAAAGGTGGCTCAATAAATGCCTCAGATCAGGTAGTGCTTCACTGTTTAGCCTTTACAGCTATCCTATGTTTGATGGAGCTATTGTTTCACTGGCCTGCATTTCCATCTTGGCGAAGCAATCTTTGCAGGTGGCATTATGTCAATTCCGTTGAGAGAACTTTCAGCATCTCATCTGTTAATTAGATTTTCTTGTTCATCTGGCACATACAGAGGAAATGGGAGCTGTAATTACAGATTACTTTAAATGCAGATTAAATAGGAAAAAAAGGATATTTTAAATTTCATCAGTTATTTAAGCTATACGTTTCAGAGTGAATAGCCAAACGGAAAACTAACAATCCTTTAGTTTCTAGTTCTTAGTGTCGCTGAGGCTTAACTCTGTTGTCATGAAACTGATGGCTATCTCATCAGGTCTCAGCCAGGCCGATGGAGGTTTTAAGAGTGGTTACGCTAAGGTCATTTGGTTGACACTGATAGGATCAACATGGAGAAGCCTTTAGATCAGCGATTTCAAACTCAAACCCTCAAAGACCAGTATCCTACAGCTTTTAGATACAGCTGAATCAAGACACGATTACCTCCTCAAGTGACATTCAGCTCCCCAGAGTCCTTGAATAGACCTTATTATTTCATTCAGGTGTGTTAAAGTAGAGACTTGTCTAAAAGGTGCCAGACACAAGTCACTGAGGACTGGATTTTGGCATCCCAGCTTTGCGCACGTGTTAAAAGGGCTAACAAAACCGAGCCCAAATCCCCTCTGATGGTTAACACCTCTGTTTTATTGCAAAACACTAATTGCGATATTTTGTGTATATACACAAGGGATTTAAAGTGATTTCTGTTTTTGTTTTCAGATCAACAAAGCAAATTATCCTGAATCTGATTTGTATACATTAATTAGCTATTGCACTATAATTTATGTTTTCTTGTAGAAGCCTGTCTTTTATGTTGTGGTTTGCATATTTATTTATTATTGTGATGCAGAACTTTGATATCTGGCTTGACTGTAGACATCAAAGCACTTTGATTCAGTGTGACGTATAATGATGCATGAAGGCTTTTAATCTGCTTGTACAAATTCTGTTTTTTGCTTTGAAGTAATTTTAAGTGATATTTGGAAATTAACTTGATTCTGACCCAACAAGAACACTAAAGAATGTAATTTTATATATAGTCAAGTTTATCCTCGACCCAGAAAGTACTTGAATATCAGGTGGAAAAAATATATTCTCTATCATACTAAGATGTTTTAATATTGTTCACTATTTAATTTCACTGGAAATCTTCTGTTTGCTGTTTTGAACTGTAAGCAATGTTTCTGAACAGTTACTTTGAGAGAATGTTATTTCAAACAAATTGTCGCCATAAAATGTAAAAAAAAAAAATGCCTTTGAGCGTTTCTACAATCGTTCCTTCTGCTTTCAGCAGAATGTCCTGGTCACCAACATCTAATCAATAAAACACTTCTTCAAAAATGATCAGTAAGTTGCTGTGGCTGGAATTACCTAAATCTTTCTGGTATATAATATGTTTTACAGGGACAACTGTTTTTATGTTATTTAGCATGTGATGAAGATAAAGAATTATGTGGAAAGGGAGGGATTTTTCTTCAAAGATTTTTTGTCTTTTTTTATATTCAGTTACCCCATCAGCAAAAAATCTGCTCTTTTGGATGGATTTGTTCACGCAAGCTATAAGACTGATTTTACACCCTGCGTGTCGTCAAAAGGAAGAAAAAAATAATACTGTTAAATAGAAACAAATATAGTTTCCATGCATCGATTCAATGCAAATTTGTTTTCTAAATATCATTGTGAACAGTAGAGTTGGGAATTGATACAATTTCAAAGATTCCGATTCTCTTATCGATTCTGTGAAACGATTCAATTTCTTATTGATTTTCTTATCAATTCTGTGAAACGATTCGATTCTTTATTGATTCTCTTATCAATTCTGTGAAACGATTCGATTCCTTATTGATTCTCTTATCAATTCTGTGAAACGATTCGAGTCCTTATCGATTATCTTATCAAATCTGTGAAACGATTTGATTACTTATTGATTCTCTTACCAATTCTGTGAAACAATTTGATTACTTATCAATTCTCTTATCGATTCTGTTAACAGTTAACTTGGTGAGTGCCTTACCTTCGCCTTGGACATTCTATTTCTGCCTGCCTCAGTGAAAACAGAAGGCAGTGAACAGAAGCTGCCAGCCTCTGAGCCAGCCAGGCTACCCTTGCCGTCACAGTCAACTAAATCTAATGAAGCTTTTGCTTCCCTAAAATGAAGCCAAACTTTCGATCGCATTGAACGCTTTTGTTTTGCTTTTCTACACTTACGCCTGGTCACGTCGTACTTGCTTACTGAATGCCATGTGTGTAACTTGCGTAAAAAACGTGACGTGAGTCTTGCTGCCCAACGCTAGGCTCTGGTGCTGCCTGGAATCGCTAAGAGAATCGTTAAGCTAGCTGCCAAATGGTGCCATGGATTTGGAACACACGGAACCGGTTCTGAATGGAACCGGTTTTCGATTCCCATCCCTAGTGAACAGTATAAGAAAACCTTATAGAATTCGGCTAAGATTCAGTGGAATACTTTTTTGATATATCACTTTCTCAACAAACCAGAAGTATCTTAATCCCCTCATCAGCATGTTATTTAACCTTCAGTGAGCCATTCAGTTAAGAGTTCAGTTGTTGAAGACATCCATGTAAAAGTTGCAGGGTGGTAACTCTTTATGGTTTGACCTCCACAGTTATTAGCTGATAGCTTTAATCTCATAGGCATTATTACCTCAATGATTTTAACCTTCATTTGAGAGAAATGTGATGCTATGGATTAAATGTGGGTCACATAAAACAACTATTTCATACTGAATGTTTGAATGTTGCACAAAATGTTTTCCCTATACAGGTTTAAAAACAAGTTGAATACAGTGGGAGGAAAACAAAATAGTAAAATGTTGAATAAACTGTGATATTCTATTTAAAACAACCCCTCTCCCCCAGACACTGTAGTATTATAGGTATGAGACGGTCTTTAATAAAATAAATGAAAATCAGCAAATATGACGGGATTTGATTGGAAATCAATCAATTTACCCCTGCGGTACATATTTCTATTAGCAGATTGTGTATTTCCCAAAAGAGAGTTTACCCCTCACAGCTTTAAGATATCTTTTTTATTGGATAAAGCTTAAGGTGTGGTATCTTTATGTAGTATGAAGTAGTTTGTGTACAGCTTGTATGGCAAGTATAAAATTGGTTTTCCTAAAAGTAACTCAAACACAGTCACTAGCGTCTATACTAAGTAAATCACTGCTTAAGTTCTCTTTGGGCATTGGGTTCAGTAGACCTTCACAAGCTGTCATTAGAATATTCCTTGACTAAATAACCTGTGTACCTCCACGTTTCCTTTAAGGCTACCCCACAAATGCTCAATATTGTGAAGGTTTAAAGAAATGCTTGGTAAATCCAGCATGTTATGCTTGAATTTTGTTTGGCTTGTAATCTGTTTAGTTACATTTGAATTCTGCACAGTATCAATCTGCTAAGCCTCCTGTTGAAAGTGTTCACAAAAGAGAGGGACATTCAGTACAGTTTTGAGTAAATCATGTCCCAAGTTGAGTTTTTAGCCAATCAGAGTAGCAAGCTGTGACATATAACATTCTTGATTTGTTTCATAGCTATCAGAGTTGACAAATCAAACTCTTACGAAATCTTGTCAGGAAGAACGTGTAAAACTCTTTCCCATCCACAAAGGCACAAATCCAGTCCTTTGGCTGGTTTTTAAAAAGAAATAGCAGATATTCCACCTAAAACCAGCATATCCATGTTTGTTTTCCTTCAGCCTTCTGCATCTGGTTGACACATTCTGTAGGTACAGTCATATGAAAAAGTTTGGGCACCCCTTTTAATCTTAATTACTTTTATTACTAAATATTTGGGTGTTTGCAACAGCTATTTAAGTTTGATATACCTAATAAATGGTGGATACAGTAATATTTAAGTATTGAATTGAGGTTTATTGGACTAACAAAAAATGTGCAGTATGCATTAAAACAAAATTTGACAGGTGCTAAAATATGGGCACCTCAGCAAAAGAGAGACATTAATATTTAGTAGACCCCCCTGTTGCAAAAACAGCCTCTAGTCGCTTCCTGTAGCTTTAATGAGTTCTTGGATCCTGACTGAAGGGATTTTTGAACTTTTCTTCTTTGCAAAACACAGAGCATGGACAGCCTCTCCACAGCTGAGCATGGACAGCCTGCTTTAAATTATCCCCCAGATGTTCAATGATATTCAGGTCTGGGGATTGGGATGGCCATTCCAGAACATTGTAATTGTTCCTCTGCATGAATGCCTGAGTAGATTAGGAGCAATTTTTTGGATCATTGTCTTGCTGAAATATCCATCCCCAGCTTAACTTCAAGTTTGTAACTGAATCTTGAACATTATTCTCAAGAATCTGCTGATGTTAAGCGGAATCCATGCGACCATCAACTTTAACAAGATTCCAAGTGCCAGCATTGGCAACGCAGCCCCAAAGCATGATGGATAGTCCTTGACTATTCTCACCATTCTTCTTCTTTGCCTCTCTTATATTTTTCTTGACCTGCTTGGCCTGGGCTTAACAAGAACTGTCCCTGTGGTCTTCCATTTCCTTACTATGTTCCTCTCAGTGGAAACTGACAGTTTAAATCTCTAAGACAAATTTTTGTTTCCTTCCCCTGAACGACTATGTTGAACAATCTTCAGATCATTTGTGAGTTGTTTTGAGGTGCCCATGATGAATCTTGAAACAGGAGAACAACTTGCAACTGGCCACCTTTGATACATTTTCTCAAGATTGGATGCACCTGACTATGAAGTTCAAATCTTAATGAAGTTACCAAACCAATTTTGTGTTTCAGAAAGTCAGTGAAAAGTAGTTAAGGGTATTCAAATCAATAAAAGAATTAGGGTACCCAAATTTTTTCACCTGTCGAGTTTTGTTTTCATGCATATTTCACGTTTTCTGTTAGTACAATAAACCTCAATTCAATACTGAAATATTAGTGTGTCCATCAGTTATTAGATATATCAAACTGATATAGCTGTTGCAAACACACAAATAATTTGAAATAAAAAATTAAAGAAAAAAATTAAGATTAATAGGGGATTAGATTAAGAAAATTAAGATGAATAGGTTTACCCAAACTTTTTTATACGACTATATGACATGTCACTGTGTCAAGGCTTATGTATCTGTTGGCTTCTGGCAAGATATATTATCAGGAGTTTGTGAATTCACAAATCTCACGGTAATTCATCTTGCTTACATGGTAAGTTGTCTTGAAGGTTTTCTTAGAGTAGTCATGTTGGGATACTGCCCTGCAGCTAAGTCTCTAAAGGGAAGAGCTTATACTCTACTGATGTGTGTTGCACAACTTTTTGACATATATGGTTCCATTAATGACTCAGCTTTTCGCACTCATGACACTCCTACCACCATAATTGACAGGAAAATTGTACGCTGTGCACTGACTACTTTGTATCACCATTGTAGGTGATACAAAGAAGCCATAATCACATCAATTTGAAAGCATCTTTTACTGTGCAGTGAAATTCAGTTTATTATGGCAGGTTTTACTATTTGTAACACGATTTATAATCTGATCAATTTATTGCTATTCTGATGCATTCTTAAGTGTGTGTGTATATAAACTAACCTGCATGTTTCAGTTTATCCCTCTAAATTAAGATTTTGCATTTCTATCTTCAGCTTCAGTCTGCCATCTGTTACACAACGGGGAGTTGTGGGACAGCGAGAGACTAAGTTACACCAGCCTTCAACGTTGGATGCCATTCTACATTCTCTCTGCTCAACACACAAGTCTTTACTCTACCAAATCCTTAAATTTGCTCTTCAGGAAAAATTACCTCCATTCCATAATCTTAGATCAATTGATCACACTGAGTCTCAATGTCGGCGTTGTGGTGTTAACCAAGAAGTAGATTTAACATCCCATTACATCCCTTCAAATGAATCTAACACCCCTAAAAGCAAGAGAATGATGGCAGCAGACTGTGTAAAGATACCAAGATTAAAGCAGCTCCAGCTCAGTTTGTCCAGAACAGAAGGAGAACGGAGTCCTTCCCCTCCTCATCTTTTACCTATCACTCATGATAGAATCAGTAAAAACACACATGGAAAGCCACCATTGCTTACCAACCAAACTCACAGTGAGGAAGCTGAACCCAATGTTAAAAACTGTCACAGTGGTCATGACTACACTACCGCAGGTGTGGATGCAGATGCCGAGATAGGACATTATCAGCCAGAACAGAACCCTGGGAGAAGTTTGCTGCAGGATGTTGTCAGTCACTTCAATCATAAAATCGAGAGCATTAAACCACTTGACAAAGATTCAGTCTCGGCTCTCGGTAGTTCTGAACTGCCCAAGTATTCAACCATTCAATCCTTCCATCCTGATGCCCATCTAGAGGAAATAATCAGAACGGTGCTCCATACAGGCAGTGCTAGTGAAGACAGCTTTAATGATCAGTTCAATCTCCATTGTAACAAAGAATCAAAGTCACCTAATACCCGTTCCCGTCGCAGGCGGGAAATTCAGGAGGCCATTGCCACACCTGCTGATGATGCTTGCGCCAGGAGGAAAATTGTAGCAGAAAAAAGGAAGCTTGCCACTTTTTGTCTGCCGTACAATCGGGGGAAAGGCACGCCATCGAAGAGAATAAAGTTGAAAGAAGAGAATTATTCTCTAGATACACCTATCACTTCATCAGAACAAGATCTAATTAAAGAAGCTTGTGGAAAAAA